TTTGTTTATCCGGGCCATCAGCTCCCCATATCCGAGGGAGTCTTCTTGGTCAGGGATCGGTACAGGTCCGTGTCCCTCGCCAGGCCGAGCCGAAAAGACGCCGCTGCCATGACTTCCGAGCAGCCTTCTACCTCATTAACCTCTTCCCAGTATCGGATGGCATACTGGCGAAGGGTCTCGGATTCCCTACGTCTGAGGGTCAGCAATGATCCAACGTCTTTGGGGCGCTTACTCCCCGTAATGAATCGAGCCAGGAACTGCCTCGTCAATTCCTTCCACGACCCAATACTGTTGGGGGAAGCGCCTCGAACCACTTCATCGCAGAGTCCCCCAAGCTCATTGGAAACACTCGGCAGAGAAACCGTTGGTCCGAATGATAGAGGGACATCATCTGCTTGTATTGCCTGAGATGGGCTTCGGGATCGGACCGCCCGTCATAAGTTTTGAACCTCGGCACGACGAACTTTCTTGAAACCTCCATCTCTCCGATCTCCCTGGTGAAGGGTGTTTGTATGACCTCGTCTTCGACCTCATCCTGGACAGCCTTACTCTTTCTCCTGGATTCCAGCTGGGCTCTGAGATCAATTTCCTCCCTGACGGGATGTCTTCTGAAGTCCTTGAGTTCATCAATGGGCCCCTCATTTCCTGGGCGCCGTGCGGATAGGGTAGAATCCTCCTCGGACTCATCCCCCTCCCTCCGTCTAGACAATCCTCGCTGGAGGTCGTCCAGGGCTAATGGTCTTGCTTTCCTTGAATGGTCGTTAGGAAGGTGCTCGTTGGCTCTCAGTCGCTTTGGAGCCCGGGAGCTCTCTGCCTTGTTGTTTAGATGATTCCTTAGATCTTTCGTTTCCGTCTCCCGGGCGGGGAGCCCACGAGAGAGGAATGAGTCCCTCGACCCTTCGCCGGAGGCGACAAATTCGTTGAGCCGGCTTAGGACGTTTACATTGTCCTTTTCCAGCTGTCGTAATCTATCGCCAAATTTTTCTTCGATCACCTCCGCCAGCTGACAAGCCAGGGGGCTGATCCTCCTGACCTAATTCCCATACTGGTTTGAGGGGTAACCCCTCTTGACTAAGTGGAGGCATTTTTATTGCCGTCAGTGTGATCCCTTCCTCCGTGGTGACAGGGAGCTTGTAATTCGAGACTTCTTTGGTGGGGACCTTTCCCTTTTTGTTGAGTGTTTACCATGATCACTGTTCTTTATAGAGAAAAAACTAGGAAAACTAGTCGATTCCCACAGACGGTAACAATGTCATTCAAATCTCATTCTCTCACTTCTTTTCATATTTTTCCCTTTTGGCAAAAGACATTAATTGTGCGTGCAAGATCTTGCACAATATAAAAAACGAGAACAGATCTCTCCCTTGGTGAACTTGAGTGAGTCAGTTGAGTGGTCAACCACGCTGCTTGGGACAGCCTGTGAGGTCGGGCGGTAACCTGGAACGGCAACGAGAGACCCTTGTGGATTGAAGGAATGATCCAGTAAGGCTGGAGAAAGGTTCCTGGAACAAAGGAGAACAAGTTAGAAGGGCGCCGGAGTGTTTTTCGGCTTATCCCCTCCGACGATCAAGTCAGTTTTTGAAAGGGAGAGGAAGAAGAAAGCACTGAGTATATTTCGCAGTAAAGAGTTTTTTGTTGCAAACTGTTTTGCTTTTTACGAAGAGTATTTATACCTCAAAAACTCATGATTGCTGTCAGTGTTGTCAGTAGATGATCATTAGGTACAGGCAGTGTGCGCACTGATTCTGATGAGGAATGTCTTTTCTTCTTTAACTGCTCGGAGTCCCGAGCAATCAATGCTGTGTCATCGGGCTGCCGACTGTCTAATGATCTCCACTCGGGGAGGATGCAATAAATGCTCAGCCTTAGAGACATTTATTGTCTTTCAATTCCGAGCCTTACCGCATTGAATGCGGTCTCATCAAGGGAATGGTGTAATTAAATGTTTGCTTTTTCAAGTCGCGTCTCAGCAAGGGCATGCGGTCTTTCTGTCTCTGATGTGACATAATTTGCCACGCGTCCATCCCTCATTGGTTGTGGACCCTGCCTTCCTGTGCTTTCTGACACCAATTGTGTAAGACGAGACCATGATAGCTAACTTAGACTAGCCTAGACTAATGACTTGTACATCAATAGCTTATACTGGAGCAGAGAAAAGGCATCCTGGACGGGGGTACATCTCGGTACCGAGGATAGGTACATCTCGAGTCGAGGGGAGTTGTACATGACGACTGAGGTACTATATCAGACCGAGGGGTATGTGTTGGTTCGTAAACGTACTTGACCACGTGTCAAGTACTTCGGGGGCGAGGGAGTTGTAAGCCGATGGTACGTGATCTCAATAACAGGATTTTTAGTGACGCCGAGGACACATGTCTTCATCTTGAAGTATTTCAAAAAAGTCTCATCATTAATCTTGAGCCTTCAATAGTGATTCACCTACACACATAACCATTTGTTAATTTAATACATAATCGATGCAGTTATTAAATATGAGTTTAGCATTAATAAGACTAAATCATAATAAATTTACCCATTAGACATGCTTAATAATTATATCTGCACACAAACCCATTTTTATGCGACAAAAATCTTATTATACAGTACCAATTACGAACCATATAACACATGACTTTTAACATATTTTTTACGAGTTGAACCAGGTATACCAGAATTCAATTTAGATACAACGCTGAGTTATTATAATAAATTTATATTGATCTTATATATTAGTTAATTAAGACAATGGAAATTTATGATAAAGTCAACAAATTAACATGATTGGGTTACCTTTATTTCGGGTTACTTGACGCCATTGACTTGTAACGGTGTGAGAAGACTAAAAGTGGATCATGATACGAAGCAATCCAAAACAAAGGTTCATCAATACAAGGATGTTGTCATGTTGAGCCCACTTCTCTTACAATGGCGTGTACAAAAAGCTTGATATCCCACATTGGACGGCATATGGTCATTTTAGACATTAGCCATTTTGATATTTAGTACAAAAAGCTTGATATCCCAAATGTACAATGTCACTATTTTTGGACATGTAAGTTATTTGGTATATCGATTTTTTCAAGACCTTTGGTATCATATTTCATTAAAAATTATTATATACTTACTATATAATTTTTTATCATTCTTATTACAAACTGATTCATATCTAGAGTACACAGTAAGTAGATTTTCTAATCAACATCTTATTACCAGTGGTTGATTTTTACTTCTTATTTCTTATCAATCAATGAAGTTTAAATTGTTTTTATAATCCATAAATAAAATTATCAATTTACTATTCATATCAAAAAATAAATTAGTACTGTATGAAAACCTATAGTTCTCAAAAAATTTTAAAAAAAATCCAAAACCCAAGCTAATCAACAGTTAAAAAAAATAGGTGACCAATACAAAAAAAATAATATACCAATTGCACAAACAAAAAATGTTCAAAATCAATCTAATTGCTATGTGTTAAAATTATTCAAACATCTTATCACTGTGTGTTGAAATTTTATAAGTAACATAGTACCTTCAGGTACATGCAATAACTAATATATATATATATATATTCTACTTAGTCTTTCTCTTATTTTTAATATAAATTAGGTTGTAGTGTATGTGAATTGTCGCTCTATGTATCTTTTCTGAACATGTTTTGACTTTTATTAAATATTTTATATTGTCGAATTAATAAAATATTTACCTTCTAAACAAATACAAGTTTTATACTCTTGATTTTGTTTTGAACTTGTCATGTCCATCTTAATATAAAATGTAGACTTCAATAAATTTATTTGACGGATTTAAATAGACTTATCTAACAGTCAGTATCATATTTTTTAAAATTATTTATATTATATCGTATCTTTAGACACGAATTATCTCTAATAATTAATAAATTTTATTTATCAGATATATATAATGGATAAAAATACGTTGCTAAACTCACACTGTTGACACTAGGCCCTTCCATTAATTGAAAGTACAGCGTAGGTTTCTCCTTGTCTGCTTTTAATCTTGGTAGGTTGGGACTTGAATTTGGATAGAGTAATAATAGATAGACTTAAAAATTAAATTTAATAATTTTAATCATTGAATAGGTAGTAAGACTCAATAAATACTGAGACTTACAGTAAAATCAATAGTTAAAATTATCAAATTTAATTTTTAAATGCATATAGCATTTCGTCGTTTGGATAAGCTTTACATAAGGCCAGAAAGTCTGCAATATTTAATGTATTCTCGCTTCGGATGTTCTAACTTGGAAGCCATGTCTCTCTCTCTCTCTCTCTCTCTCTCGGATACAGCTTTTTATACGGCTTAATAATGATTATGAAGTATATTTAATAGTTTTATTGGTTTCCATTGCATGGTGTATATTTCGAGTTGACTACTGTATTCATTTTTTTTATACCATATTTATAGTTGTTTTTATTATATTTTTAAATATTTTTATCGCTGTTATAATATTTAAAAATTAATAAAAATAATTATCACAATAAATATAATAAATCACTCACAAAAAATAAATTTTTTATATAAAAATATTTACTAGAAATGTAATAAAACACAAAAATACCCACAAAAACAAAAAATTATTCATAAAAATAATAAATTTTTTTATTATAAGATAATCCACAAAAATTATAAAATCATCCATTATTAAAATAATCAAAATTGATTTTTTTCTAAGGTACAGTTGTCAAGTCTTTCAAATAATCAATATTAAAAGCAAGGCTAATCATGGAGTGATCAGATTGGACATTGAAAGCAAAAGACCAAGTTCATTTAAGAGCATCAATTTTTTTATATCAGAGAAAGAGCATCAATCAACTTTTCCAAATATTTGATATTGTATTCAGTTTACCATCAACCAGTGTTCCAAAAATCATGAAACCTAATAGAAAGCAACCAGAAGGAGCTGATTACTAATAGAAATATCAAAATTTTGAGGCATGCCTCAATAACTCTGGATCTTCAGATAAACTAAACTAAACAAAACAAAACAAAACAAAACAAAAAACCCAACAAAATTTGATAGCAATTGAAACCCCATCTCTGACAACTGGCTTAGAACCTTGTCTAATGTTTCAAAATTGTATGTGTCCAATTCCTGAACTTGAAGGAACCACAAAAAAGGCCACTTTCAGATTCAAATTTAGGAAACCCAACTTCCCTATTGGGTGAGAATGAAACTTTCTTGCAGTTCTCAGAGAGCCACTTGGACTGCATGTAATTTGTTCTTCTCCATGGAGGAATGTGAAGACCTCTCTCTTCCATAGACTGCTTAGCAGCTGAGCACAGGATAGAGATTATCTGGTTGAGCTTTTCTTCAGTACCCACAAATATGGAAGGAAGAGAGTTTGAGAGCACTTTGTAGGTTGGTGTAGGCCTTGCCACTTCGAATTGAGACCTAAAATCAATATCCACTATAAACCTTACGGGTTTGCCACCACTATCATCCTTTGTCATGACATCAATATATTCGTAATCACCTGTAAATTCAAACACTTAAGAGCCAAAACTATAGAGTTAAAATAATACACAAATTTTGTCTGTGTGTCAGGGGGGGGAGAGAGAGAGAGAGAGACCTGAAAGGCGACCGAAAGCAGTGGCCCAAGAAGTTTTACAGAGAGAAGCTTCATAACCATCCTTCTTCAAGTTCAGTACTACCCATTTCTTGAGGTTATTGGCTTGCCCTATAGCCTCCAAGCTCTTCAAGTAACATAGAGTCCTTCCAAGAACCTCAATCTCAGCATCTGTGACACTTTTAAGGATCTCCTGAGAGAAACACATAGAAAAGAATATAAGTAAAGATCAGACTTAGAAAACAAACCAAGTCTAGATCATTCAAAGACAAAGGATGCACCAAACAAATATTAGATTCTCAAAACTATAAGAAGATCATACCTGCAAAGATACGTATGACGTTTTATGACAAACTTGGAGGGGTTTTGAAGGAGTATAGGATATGGGTGTGGTTGATTCTGATTCAATGTAGTCTCTGACCATCTGGACCAGTCTTTCTTCTTCAGAGCTACCCATTCTCTTGCTTCTTACAGGAAGGTACCGGAACATATGTAGAGAGTCTTGAAAGTTCACTATCTTTCAAATCATCTAGAAAGGTGATGCCATGATAGAGTTATATGTCACCACCATCGAGTGGTCTATATTTTTGGGTCTGATGGAAAGATTAATGTTCTCGGATGAAAATTAAAAGAATAAAAAAATGTGAAATATAATTTTTTCATTCTTAGATAAATGAAATTAATTTTTATAGATGAAAAGTTTGAAAACTTAATTTTTTATTATTTGATATTAGAGAAAAATTGGAAGAAAAAAAAAAGGCAAGTGTATTTAATTTATCATTCTATCATTATATGATATGAGAAGATAAATAAATAAAAAAAATTACCATCATTGTTCTTTTATATACGGAGAATTTACTATAAGAAACAAATAACTTAAATATGGGATCCACTAATTTGGTCCACACACTTACTTTTTTTCCCCTAATTTGTGTTTTTATAATCCGTCACTTTTAAGGCTAAAATGATAACTTCAAAAAACTTTTCAACCTATCGCCATCCTTTCATCCACTTTCCTCCCATCAGTGGAATGATTAAAAATGGTGGGCGCATTGGATATATTTTTCACTCACTTTGACTTTTCTTTCGTTTTTTATCTTATACCAAATAAAAAAAATGTCATTTTTTATCTTATTTTTCATTCACCCACTTTTCCATCAAATTAAACAGGCAATAAGAATTTTAATATTATACCAAAAATTATAATTTTTTAATAAATTAATTAATATTTATAAAAAAATACGATCAGTTCTAAAATATTATGATCAATTTTAAAATGTTATGATTAATTATAAAAATTATTAGTAAAGGGTTAGTAAAGTGTTTTCATTCTTTCGTAGTACTGTTCTATTGAAACTGATAACAGTAATGAATGCTATTTGGAGGTGAATTGGGGGGGAAATGGTGATTATAATCAACTCTGAATCTTTTGATATGAGAAAAATTCCCGAGTCTTGGTTAAAATTATAAGGATTAAAAGTAATAATTATAAGATATTCCAAGCATCTCAACAAATTATAACTCAAACTCTACAAAACTTATAAACTTTTGTACCATACTTTCTTTGGTGCCAAGTCCAATCTACTACTTATTTATGAAAATGATAGTTATACTCGAAATTTTGGGCTATTTAATCACTAAAACGCTATTATTTGGACTAATATAACAGGTTAGTTTGACAAAGTTGTCCTTGTTGCAAATTTGGATCCATACATGTTATTTACTATTAACTCGTGCCTGCAATACTTAATAATTTTAAAAATTTTAAAATTTTCACTATCGAGTTGCATTTCTTTATTACTAGATAAATGATAACCAGTAGAGTTGATCCTAGAGTCATCACAAAAATTGCTCCACATTACATACAATAGCCAAATAGGAGCAACAAAAAAAAAAAAAAAAACATACCCATCAACCTTCAATGGACGAACAAACGTGCAAGCCATGTGAGTGATAGGATGTCCGACGCCCCCATTTTTTTTCTTCAATTTTTTCATGGTGTTTTTGTTTTGAAGGCGCCATTTCTTTTGGGTAGAGTACTGTTAGAGTATGTGTGGCTCATATTTTGTTATGTGCATAATGACAAGGAGACAGATGTTAGAGTGGGCAGAGCGTAGCGGAGTGGAGCGAAGCGGAACCCGCGACGGCATCTGCCTTGTGGGATTTATATAAAGGGGACGTTGATTAGTTCGGGGTGCGGGGGCAACGCCCCCGCGGTACGGTACATGGGTATTTTTATAAATACATCCATATTAGGGTTATATAAATACTTAAGATGTAACCCTACTTCAATAATGGAAAAGAACGGCCGCTCGCTCTCGTGGATGTAGGCACATTGCTGAACCACATAAATCTCTGTGTGTTATTTTCTCCTGCTTTCTTAATTGTTTGATTTTTTACTATTCACCATAATTGCTGCACAATCACAACAAGTACCTTTCCTAAACAACAGAGCGATTGTTAGTAGAGGTGTTGTTTCTAAAATGACGTGTGATGTAGCATGTTTAGTATATGATTACATTGGGGATCAAAATCATAAAAAAACAACGTTGATTGAGTGTTAATCAAGATTGATTTTGGGCGACAGTGTCAAAAAATTTATTAAAATCACATTGTAGAATGTTCTCAATGAGTCGAGCAAGATTGAAACATGTAACTTTTTTAAGCAAAAAAAATAACGTTTAATCCATTTTTTAAGTACTTTTATATTATATCCCGCCATTAGAGTATTTATTTTATATTTTGTATTAATGCAGAGTTTTCCTATAATTTTGATTTTGATTGAATAAAATCTAGAGACTGAGTTCTCTTTTCTTTCCGATTGTTTTAATATTTTGTGGAATCAAAAAGATTATTGAAAACTCCCGTCTGGCATTATTATAATACTCAACAGCTTTTAACTTCTGTTGTTTAATCTCAATTTTGTACTAACGCTGTCTTGCATCAACGTGATATCGTACCTATTAAGTGAAACAAAATCATCTCGAGTATTTTGCCCGTATGTCTTGCTAGATAGAGACCTAACAAGTAGTCAGTCAAACATGGGATTCATCTCTCTCTCCAAGAAATTACACAGTCACTCTCTCACTGGGTTTCGAAGAAGTTACTCATCCACTAAAGGACAAAAAAGTATTTAAGGAACATTTAAGACAAAGTTTTAGTAATATATATTTCAAGCCCAGAAAATTAAGCAGTTATGAACAAGATTCTCTATACCACTAGAAATATTAAATAAAGTCTACATCCTTCTGGCTGCTTTGATTCTAATAGATGTATTATTTTTTGTTTTCTCTATCTAAAAATCTACACTTTGAAGTTTGAATTTTTCTCGAAATATTAATTTTATCTTCTTTTTCAAGTCGAATTCTTTTCGAGATCATGATATCCGATTGTCCTGAGGGCCAAATAAGGTAAAAAATTTCATTGCACGAGTTTTTTCAAATGAAATTTTTTTTTTTTTTTTGGAAAAGATCTTTCAAGAGGTTATTAAGAAATATTTTGTTAATCGGAAATGAAAAGTCAAGTCACATATACACGCATTTCTCAATAAACCATATGTATAAATCTTAATTAAATCTGAATTTTATCATATTAATAAAATTCAAAAACACTAATTTGTGTTCATTTTTCGTTCTAAAACACTAAAGTAATCCAGAGTTTATTATAAACAAAGACCATATGGAAAGAAGAACTCCATTATTAAAGGGTTAGTAGTGCGGGGTAAAGCTAAGAAAGCGAGAAATCCATTACTTGGGGGCGTTGTCCTGATAGGCTACTGCCAAAATAATATAGTCCTGAAAAATGAATATACCTTAATAGCCTGACTACATACATAAGGTTTTATATTTAAATATATACTAATCATAATTTGTAACTGAAGACATGGCGATACAGCATAAAAATTGATCGCCAAAAAAAAAAGTGACAAAATTTTTCCAAATACATTATCTCAAACAAATATCAACATGTATATATTATCGTATGAAATACATACCTTAACATCTGCATACCCTCAGTTCAAAAAAACAAAAAAAAAAAAAAAAAAGAAAGAGAAAAAGGCAATACAAATCTAGGTCCCCATTTAGGTTCTTGGGTATGCCAGATTCTCAGCTGGATCAGAATGGGACTTTCTTGCAGTTTTGAGAGAGCCACTTGGAATGCATGTAACTGGCTTTTCTCCATGGAGGAATGTGAAGTTCTCTCTCCTTCAGAGATTGCTCAGCAGCTGGGCAAAGCAAACAGATTAACTTGTTGAGTTTTTCGTCAGTCCCAACAAAGATGGGAGGGAGAGAGTTTGAGAGCTCAGTGTAGGTTGGTGTAGGCCTTGCCAATTCGAACTGAGACCTAAAATCTATATCTACTATCAGCCTTGTTGGTTCATCTCCAACATCACCATGAATCATCACATCAATATATTCATAGTCACCTGTAAATTCAAAGACTTCAGCACAAAAGAACCATTAAATCATAATTTTTCATAAAAGTATAATGAATTAATCACAAATAGAGAGAGAGAGAGAGAGACCTGCACGACGACCAAAGGTGGTGACCCAAGAGGTTTTGCAGAGAGAAGCTTCATAACTGTCAATTTTCAAATTTAATCCAACCCATTTCCTTAGATTTTCGGGTTTCTGATCCATCGGTTCCGTATCGTCCAAGTAGAGCATGACCTTCCCAAGAACTTCAATCTCAGCATCTGTGACATTCTCAAGGATCTCCTAAAAACGATAGATATACCAATAGACAAGATCAGATTCAAAACAAAAAAAAAAAATTACAAAGTCAACCAAAATAAGGGAAATGATCACCAAAATATAGAGTAGACCTGTAAAGAGAGAGATGCGGATTCATGATGAACTTGGAGAGATTCAGAAGAAGAACGGAAAATGGTGGGTGACTCCGATTCAATGAAGTCTCTGACCATCTGGGACAGATTTTGTTCTTGTGGGCAACACATTCTTTTCCTTGTTTCTAATTGCAAAGAGAGAGATACCATAGAATTCTATATATGCAATGCTGACCCTTGAAGAGCTAGTGATGTTCTTTCTTGGAAGTTAACTCCTTGACCATAATTTATGGGATAGGAATTGAAGTGGATTTTAAGGCTTTATAATTTATTTATATGTCCCCATCATCGACTTATCCAAATGGTGGCACATTAGTGCCACGGGTTTAGTCTATAATGGGTGAGTTCTGTTATTTTTTTTTTTTCCAGGGCGAGATGTGTCCGGATCACCTTATACCTTATACGTATCTCAATTAATCATCTCTTCTATATGGTCAAAGGTAGGTCATCCAAGCCTGAACTAAATTATTTATGAGGTATAAATTCTTTATGACCTATGACTTGGGGTTAAGGGGTTGATAAGATTTAAATTCACGATGTTTGAATTTACACAGCTCGTCACTATTATCACTTGAGTTACCTTTGTGATTGGTGGGTTTTATTGTCACGATACTTCATACTTCTTTATCACATTATCAATGTCATGTGATGTCACCAAATAAATTATAAAAATAAAAGTAATGCTACAAAATTCAAATAAAACCCAAAAAGTTACAACTTAAATGCATATCATCCATTGGATGAATAAATTTCATCAATTTTTTCAATGGAATCCACTCATCCCACACTCATCCAAGAGATGATATGCATTTGAGTTTTAATTAATTTTGGATTTTATTTGAATTATGTAGCATTTTCCTAAAAATAATACACAGAATTGGTGAACTCCACTATTCCAACTTGATAGTTATTAAATAAAGTAAGTTGGTTATTAATAGTTATTAAAACATTGGAATCTACTAAGTCCACTTAGTACTTTATTAATGATCGATAATACTACGTGACATTAATGATGTGATATCACTGTTACATTTAATATTTTCACCAGAGATTGGGAGAGAGAAAATATAGATTATGGCATGCAGATGGTTTCATATCTTCTACTATGATTCTACTGCATCAAATGGGTGCACTACAAGAAAAGGGGTTAGAATTGGGTAATTACTGAATAATAATGTTATTTAAACTTAATTTGCTGACATAGTTGGATGGGTTAATTTATCCTAATCGTTAGATTGATTGTGGATCCCAATAAATATTGGATCCATTGTCAATCCAATAATTATGAATAATTAAGTCAATAAATTATGTTAACAAAATAAATCTAATAATATTACTTACTGCTAAATAGTTTATTGATTCTAAACATTTGGTACTTTCTCTCTCACATGTTGGTAATCTCCCAACTATGTTAAATTCACATGCAACTCCAAGTTTTTACTACCTTCACCTTTGGCTTTGCTTACTAGTACATGCGCCACTTGATATTCAATACTCTTTGTAATTTCTCTCTTGAAAAATGATGATGCACAAATTAGTTTGTACAACACCTGTCAAATAAGTAGTATAAAATGTAGTAATTGATAAGAAAAGAGAAGACAAGGTTTATAGTAATTCGGTCAACGTAATTTACGTTCACTTTAAATGGCAAGGGACGCCGGTATTTTATTAACTCCGGTGTGTAAGGAGAGTAAGAAGTTACAAGCTTTGAGAGAGGAGGAGAGAATTACCTCAAATGAATTTAATACCCCCAAGTGTTGGAGAGAATTACCTCAAATGAATTACAATACACTTACAACATTAAGATATAATATCGAAAATGAGCGATGCTTTTAGATCTCAAAATGGTATCCCAAATTAGTAGTGATCATGTGATCAATGGGTCCTGTTAAATTTTTCAATAGCTATTCATTTGGATCTTAAATTTAGGATGCATATTATTTTTTATGAGAAATTTATTAATTTTTGAAGGTTTAAAGTAGGTATTATTAAATTTTTTTAGGAACAAATAAGGGTGCAACTTAGGTTGGGTAAACCGATTTCAACCCGAAAAAATTAGGATTTGGACAAAATTTTTTAATATTTGGGTTAAGTCTGGGTTAAAAAACCTCAACTCGAATTCAATTTGAATTAGACTTGGGTTAAGGTCTCGGGTTCATGGGTTCAACTCGAACCTGATAAATTAAAAAAATATTATATATATATATAAAATATTAACACTAGTTTTTCATTTTTGTTCTATCGTTCTCTATCTCTCTTATTTATTTTTGTTTTATCATTAGCACTGTTAAAAACTTGATTAAAGTTATTAGTTGTTAATTTAGGTGAATATTATGTATTATATGTATTAGGTTTAGAACAACAAGCCTATTTTAGGCTCTATCTAAACTCAATCCATAAAATAACTTGAAATTAGTCTGAAATCATTAATTTGAATTTAATCCGAATTTGTTCAAATTAAATTCGGGTTGGTCCCCAATTCCAGGTAGGATTAGAATTAAGACAAGGGTCGAAGGTTATCCGATTTAGGCTGGGGCTAGAGTTCGCCGCCCGAGTTGCACCCTGGGAACAAAGTCCTATTCGTCCTTAATTTTAAAAGAAACAAAGTCCTATTCGTCCTTAATTTTAAAAGAAACTTTCCCAACCGTTGAAGCAAATTCAGTACATTTGAAGAAAGAGCCGAAAAGTTTTTTCGCACGAAACGTAAAAACTTCGTTCTCTTTCAATTCGATCTAAGTTGAAAATTTTCTCTCACTTTCCGGGGAAATCACTTGGAAAACGGGTATCGAATCCGTGCCCATTTTCATTTTTATTGTGACAATCACTCGTTCTTTTTTTTTTTTCTTTTCTTTTCTTTACCTGTTTATTTCGTCTCTCAAAATCGCTTTGTTAAATCTGCTTGATTTTCTAGGGTTTGTTTGGGTCTTTTTTTCCTGTATCCATATAACTTTTATTTTTGATTTGTTCTTGCTTAGTAAGGGTCATAATAGTTGTTATTCGTTGTTTTTTATGGATCAATTGATGATTTTATAGAATTTGTATAGAATAATCATGTGTGTATGCGTGTGTGCTTGTGTTTATTCAAAGAGGAAGGTGTTGGAGTCAAGTCTTGGTTGGGACGTCTGTATGCAGCGTACTTATCAAATGAGAAAAAAAATTAATGTAGAATAGGATTAGGGAGAGCGAATTGAGATGGTTCATTTTCGTAGATGTTTGCTATTTCTTCTTGTGCTGCTATGAGTGAGAGTAATTGTTTCGTATTATTCACTGTGATCATAGTAGATTGAGTAGGGGTTAGATGCTAGAAGTGGTCAAATAAACTTGGTGTTAAGATGGTGAAGATACCTTATGGTTTGGCCTGTCATCTCGTGCTATTTTTCAGGCACATTTTTGGTGTATGTTGAGGATTGGAAGTAGGTTGATATATTGCTAAGATATATGGTGGGTGGAGCCGGCCTTAAGTGAGATATTTCCAAATCTTTTATCGGATTGTTGTGCACAATTACATAATTGTGTTTTTGAAAATGAGTCCATTTATATCTTGGATAGTAGTATCTTTTACGATCTGCAATTTAACAGAGTATACAAAATAGTGAGCATAAGTTGCCTATCTTCATGTAACTAGTGATTTGTATAACTATAGAATTAATGATAGGGTTGATATGGTGGATTGGATGAGATGCAAGTAGTGGCTGGTTAAATGGTTAATGTTGGCTTTTCCCATAGGATGATTGTGTTAGTTAGATGTCCCCCTGCACCCGGAGGGGGGGGGTTTGGCTTCGGAGAGGATGATGGTGCATTGCTGCTACTGTTTATTAAAATATGGCGTTTGAAGGTGCTTGCCACAGTTGCTGATTTATATTGTTATAATAATCTTTGACCACTTAGAATTTCATTAGAAATTTAGAACTGTTTAGAATATCATTTTAAGAAAAAAGGGTCAAGGGACTTCTTACCGATAAAAAAGGTTCTCCCTAATTTGTGTCACATTGCATGTGCTAGGGTACTGAGGATTCCGTAATTCTCATATTATTGAAAAATAATTATCTTATTGTGCATTGTTTGTTGTCATTGGAGTCTATGTTGGTACTTACCTTATTGTGTTTATTAAGGTGGATTATAGAGGTTGTGGAGACTATGAGGGACCATATTTGCCAAAGGAATAGGTCTCTGGCTCTCTGCAAAAGGGCTAGGTCTTTGTGAAAAGTGTCTCACAATTGTCTAAGGTGGATTAAATTGAAGGAAAGGAACTGGTGAACATGTGACGGAGAGGAAATACTGCATCTATGCTTAGATAAGGGACGGTATGAAATATCAATTTAAGGCTTTAAGAAAGGTTTATATTTCATCTTTGCAAGGGCATGATATCTAGATTGGGCTGTGATCTAATTTGTATACTTTAGTGCAATAGGGTACCACTTCTATGTTTTCACCTGTCTGGAAAAAAAGGATGGCCCAATGCATGAGGCTCTTGCCATTGTGAGATCTGGGGTGGGATGCAGCATTGCCAATGCATATTGAGAGGCTATTTCCGAACCCTTCTGAAAAATGGATACAAAAAAATGGAAAGTGCATAGCAGGGTAGAGGACTCAAAGGGTATGGGTAGAATTGCTATGTGTAATGTTGACATGTTATTGTTTAGCTGAAGATTTGAGTTTCCAAAATCTGATATATTGGAACATTATTGTGTTGTTTTAGGTAGCAAAAAGACCCTTTCGTTGCCCATAATTCTTGTGATGGCTTCGGACAATGTCTCTTGTGGGATAAATATGCATGATTTTGTGGAAACCTTGGATGTAATCTCTAATTAACTAACAGAAAATTCGTCAGGTTACAAAGTGATGTAGGACATTACATAGAAATTCAGAAAAGAATAGAGTGGTCTCTAGGCTACAAAGTCTTATGAATGTCATCCAAAATGTACGATGTGTATTATAGGTGATGGCCTCATATAGATTGCCTTTATGAGTCTAATTGCGAGGATCAGGAAGAATTTATTCTAAAGGTCCATGACCAGTGAGGGACAATACTTATAAATGCACAAGATCCCTGTTAATACTCTCAATATTTTTGTTTTGGAATAATAAAAAAGAAGAAGTCATAGTTAGCTTACTATATGTAAGTTGAGCAGGTAATGCGTCTGTTACGATGCTTTCCTTGAACTTACTCTTGTTTAATGTGTGTTATTAGATTTTGTGGACGC